GCTTCAAACTAAGTATTAAGTAACTTTATCTCGTAAAAATGTGTCATATCACTGTTAAGCCTTTTTACAAAGCGTCCCGAGAGCTATCAATAACGCGACAGTGACGTTCGTTTCTATTCTAAAAATAGAAGGTCGGGTAACGAATCGTCAGCTATAGAGGTATCGATGGGTCTCTTTGTTGTTTATGTATCTTGACGACGGCAAACTTTATTTCCCACCTTAGTTCTTGATTCAACAATTATATGAAACGATAACTCTAAAAACAACATATTTTACCTTTAGAAAAACTGGGACAAAAAGACATGTATATTTTAGGTCCCAGGAAGAATAATAAAACATTTTTAAATGCAATTTCCACATACAATTTAAATAAAAAGTACCCCCCCCCCCCCCCATGTTCGGAAAAAGTCCACCATATCACTGTACAAAGCATCCCGAGAGCTATTTATAACGCGACAGTGGCGTTCGTGTTTTAAGGAAACGAATTGTACACTTTACTAATTTACATATAAGAGAGCAGTTCATGTATTTTGACGACGGCAAATCCCATTTTTCTCCATGATTCTTCTGATTTGACAATTATATGAAACAAACGACATATCTAAAAATAACATATTTAAACATTAGAAAACCTGAATTGACCGCTAATGTTAAAAGTAAATACTTTTTGACAAGGCTGGGCCGATGTGGGGTCAGGGTTTTACACCGATCAATACAGAAAGAAAACGCAATAAACCTTTACTGACAACAATTAATTAAAACATTTTCTTTTGATTTACTTACTGTGCAGCTTCTTACACCAGCTGATAAGAATCTAACATGCTCTAAAACCATTGTTTAAATGTTATAAAACTTCTGTTTGTGTTGTTAAAGAATTTTTTTTAATTCAATTCTGAAGTCTAATGTGCCGCTATCTGCATATGTCTAACACCGCTTAAATCGACATAGCATTAGTCTTTGAACTACTTGTTTGTCAATGACAAGGTCATAATTTGAAAAAAAAAATCTGACTTTCTATACGGACACTAATAAGGATAAAAATAACTATTTGAACAGCTTGTATTATGGTGCAGACATGGTTTATATTTAACCACATTTAAGGGGAAAAGGTGCTTTAAAGTTCATTCGATCTCTTTTTCTTTCTTTTTTTAACTGTTTATTTAAATAGTTTATTCTTTTCTTATATATGTTAGCGTCTAACTATTATATAAATGAAGTTCGATTACTGATTGTAAGTCAGATCAATATCTACTTTAAAAAGTCACAATTATATCAAAGGAAAACCTCTCGAAGTTATTTGCAAATATTTATTAAACTTTCTTGCGTCTCATTTAAATATTTTGTTTTTCATTTATTTTTTGTTTATTTTACTTAGTTTTTATTGTATTATTTTATATGTGATATTTAATTTAGCTGATTTTTGTCTTTGTTTTTTTGTCTGTTTAATAGTTTGTTATAAAAGGTTGCATACTAAAATGCATTTGTTTAAAGGCACATTATGCCTCAGAAATCCTTTTTTTTTAAAAATTCTTTTGAAATGTCACACATGTTTAATAATGTTTAAATAATGGATTAAGTGCACTATAAATGTTTAACAACTGAAAAAGTAGCGCTGTATGTGCGGTTATGTGTCGTTAAGGTAGGAAAATGTAAACAAAGTAGAACTTTAACTTTCATACAAAATACTAATTCACTATAAATATATTTATGCCAACAGAACTAAAGATGCAAAGGATAGTTAATGTATATAGCAGATGAATATGTTTTAACAAGATACAAAAAATAAACAGGTTTTTAGAAATAAAAATGATTTCTGAGGCATTATGGGCCTTTAATAATAACTGAAACTGTTTATATCATTGCGCATGACTTTGTCATTTGCGCTTGAATCGATTTGATGTATAGTTAGACTAAAAATAGTGGAGTGGAGCAGTAGTAAGACTTATCAAATGTCATGACGGCCCCGGTTATATCATAATCAAAACATGAATGCAATTGCACGTAAAATGCGGAAGAACGAAACTGCTTTAAACTTTACTAATTACCACTGGGTCACGTATATAGATATTGTAATAAAATATTGTTTGAAAAATATTGTTGATAAAGATCTAAATGAATCAGTAAGGACATTAAAACGGCCCTAAACTTTAAAAAAGGTTTAACAATAAAATAATAATAATAATAATAATGAAGATAATGATAATAATAATAATTATTAGTTTTATTATAAAATTATGTTTTTTTATATTGATCCTTTCTTATAATTGTCAAATCAAAAGAATTATGGTGAAAATGACATTGACGGCGATAAAATACATACACAAAAGGAATCTACCAATCCACTCTCTGTATTCAAATTAGTAAAGCGGACGATCTTCTAGAAACGAAAGTCACTGACGCGTTATAAATGGCTTTCGGTACTTTGATTTGAAGACGAGTTGATGAAATTGCAAAATAATTAGTTTGAAACAGCATAGAATTGTTGTGGGTTTTTTCCCCAAAAGAAAACAAGTAGAGATTTTGATGCTAAAGCATCAAGTCGCCGGATAGAAATATTATTGTATTATCATAAATAAAAGAAAATATCAGTTTAATGGTTCGAGTATAAAGAAAAGAGGAACAATAAGTTGAGTAATGTGTATTCATAAACACGTTTTCATGTACTTGCCACAATTATATCTTTCTTGCTATAAACTTTGTAAAAGAGTTTTATGCAATAAATTTATGTTATGTTATAATAAAACATCATATTTGAAGCAAACTTGCTTAGCAATTTTGTCAAGAAACTGTTATCATTATTAAATAAGCAAGTATTGTTTGGCAATATTTACCCGAGACTCAATCGGGAGCTGTTTCGTTAGCTTACATATCTTATTATGATTAATGTTAACGATTTTATTGTAAGTATAATTACATATATAATTATATCAATTAATACTGCTCGATGGCCTAGTGGTAAGTATGACGAACTTGTAACCTACATATGTAGTAGGCGCAAGTTCGAATCATTAACAAATCCTGTGTGTAGTTTTCATAAATTGATTTTTATTATATCTTTTAACTTTATGAAACATAAGTTGATAAATCGTGTGTTTCATTTCTAGCACTTTTTTATTTCATAATTTTGATAAATGGTCAAGTTTTGCAAAATACAAAAAGTACATTGTGTATTATAAAAGAAAACATAAAAAATCACTTTATCGAGCTTGAAACTAACATAAAATCTAACACCTTGTCATCGAGGCTTGTAAAGCAAGTGATATGATTATAATTTTAATTGTAATTCTACTTTATACATATACCGTTGTACTCCGTATGGTTTACTTCAGAATCCGATAATTATCGACAAATTATTACCGATCATCGAATATTTGCAAAGTGACTATGAAAAAATATATGCTTAATTATTGCATAAAACAATGCAATTCTACTGTAAAAGTGGTGTCTGCATAAAAAATTAGTCTTATGCACTATCGAAAAAATATACTATTTAGCTGATATCAATATTCCTGTCGTTACAGACGATATAGTTAACGTTAAATTGCCTTTCAGTGCGATAAACTATCAACACAAAGATAGTTTATTAGTTTTCTCTGTGTATCCAAAACGATTCCGGCCCCTACTGTCATACCGAGATTTTTCATACAAAATTACTTTGATATGCACTTTTATCAGCTGCCAACCATTCACAAGTATCAGCCATTTGTTACTATTAATAGATTTTATAACAATAACATACAACGTGTAGTCACGTGATTCTGGGAGAAGCTGTTTATAATAAATAAGATAAAAAAATAGAATAGGTCTCATTACATACAAACAACCAGATAATTTAAAAGTGTCATTTCAAATATCATGCATGATTTATTTATCATAAAATAGCAACGATTGACACTTTGAAAAAAAGGAAAAACATCCCTAAATTCAATGACTGGTCCATAGGGATACGTCATTAATTCATTTTATATAAATTGTAATGTTGCTTTTTACGATGTCAATATTTGAATATTTCATTTCATTGAGCAACATTATTCTATGTTTTAATTTTTGAGATTACTGAAAACAATTGTAGTCTTTAATTGTTCAGTAATTGATATGCTTTTATTTTCAGATTTTAATGCCTTCTCCTACCATAGGTATAATATTAAACTGTTACAAATATAGTCGCCGGTTTCTACCGGCGACTAATAAACGCTGAAGGCCGCTTTATTAAAGTCGATGAATAGTATTATTCTGTTCTAGAACAACTTATTATCTGCATTTTGAATAATATGTTATAGCAGATCATGTATCACAAACTTGCAAACAACAATCATATCTATAATTATTTCATGCTTTGTTGTTTTGTCTGATACTAAATAATATCCGCATAATTATTTACTGTATTACAGACCGTCATTTATTAACAAATTCACTTTAAAGAAACCGCGTAGAATGCATATAGCAAGGATCATTTACCAAACGACATTAATTAATTAAAACTGAAGGTTAGAATGTATTAAAAAATGTTTTAAGCTCGGTTTAATTTAGACTACACGTGGTCATTTAGAGATACCCGAGTAATATTTTCTAACTTCGATGTTGCCTTGTTTTCAACACAGTAATATATAGTATTAGTATAAGTGAAATAAAGTCTGATTCCACCGTGTTTCAAATGGGATGAATTTTTGTAAGAGTTCAAGTTATTCTAGAATCACTTTCATATATGAAACATGAGAAAATGTTTCGAATTCTTGGACCTGAACAGTTTCAATTATTCAACGCCACACGTGGAATGTTTGCTTTGCGTCCTATTAACGATATGGGATACTGTTAAACTATGGAATAAAATATATGACTTAAATGCATTAACAGTCATTGATGTGCCTTTAACCTGATATTGATATTGTTATGCAAGCTTGTTTACTTTTTTTCTACTCATGCAATTTTGAAAAAGACCCGCACTTTCACAATATTGCTTTTCCTAAGACGCATTTCTTACCGTCCTCGAAAGCGAAAATGTGCTCTACGACAGACCTTTATACAATGGTTCTTCTGTTATTTACCTGCATTTTTGTGATTGAACTTGGCATGGTCTCAACATCTACGGCCATAAATTGGGTAAAACTTCAAGCTGAAGGACAATTCGTTGAAGACATATGCCCAGCGGAAGATGTTCGGTTTGTGAAAGAATCGGTTGCTGCCGCAGTAACATGCGGTAAAATCTGTAATGAGGACAAGGAATGTAAAGCCGTTACGTATCAAATGGATGATCATAAATGCACTGGCTGTCGGGAGTTTTTGAAATCGTTACCAACGGTAAACTCAGCGGGATTGCTAAAATTTGCAAAAAGAGGTTCGTGAATTTTGAACTATGTAAAGGCACATTATATGCCTCAAAAACTGATAAATTTTTACTTTCTTAGAAAGGGCAAATATTAGTTTTATAATATTTAAATAACGGTATTTGAGGATGTTTGATGCTTGTTTCCTAAACAAAAAGTAGCACTAAATGTTAAATAATTTGTCACAAAAGTAACAAAGTGTAAACTAAGTAGTTTTTTGACTTCCATACAAAATACAAAATCACTATAATTGTACTGATTGCCAAAGCGAATCTGAAAAAAAGATGGATTAGGTAATTGGCCAATGATTATCTTTTTGAAACTATTAAAATACACTGAAAATAAAAACCTATTGAGAAATTAAAGTAAAACTATGCTTTATTTAGTGTAACATATAAAGCTATTTATATTTGCGAAATAAATCATCTTGTCTTAGTTATAGATTTTTACAGACTTTTTTCTGGAGGTTTAAGTTGTTCTCTCACTTGCTGCTATTTACTTCTTTGTGGTTATTATTTTTACTTTGTTGTATTTAACTCAGCCTCGTTTTGGATCCAAAAAATTTCCTTTGTTGTTTACAGAGAAGTTTCTATTTTTGCTTTTTAATTATCACCGCTTTCCTCCCCGCCTCCCTCCAGATTTAGTCATCTTAGCTATATGTGTTTTGTTGTGGACATGTTCGTGTCCAACTTTCTGTCATCCTTTGTGATATTATGACACAATTTTCTAGTCTTATAGTTTCTAGTCATTTTGATTAACTTAGTTTATTTACCTTTTTATAAAATAAAGTCGTCTGGCACATTTGTGCCAGACATTTTCAATCCACTTTTTGTCAGACTCTTCTTTACACTTTCCCCTTCCGTGATGACAGAAATAAAACTTCAAAGGCGTTCAGGCAAAGCAAATATAAAAGCATTTATGGGGCATAATTGGCCTTTTAGATTAGGCACTTCGGTTGCTCAAGCTTATTTTTTAATGGTCTGGTATCAACATTGGCCGTTAACTGTTTTAACTACACTGGTAGCTTTAAACTGAATCAGCAACATTTAGGTTAGGCGTTTAAGGCTATAGACATGTAAATGTAATAAATATGATCTAAGTCCAAAACTATTGCGTCAATTATTTAATGCTTTGTTCTTTCTTTTTTGGGCTTTTCATGTGAAGTTTGGGGAAACAAATTGAAAGAATTAAATTTAAATTTTTGAAAACGATTATTTATTAAAAGTGATAACGAATACATGCAATGCACATGTAAATGGTGAAATGGGAAGGTTCCCATTGTATGTAAATAGATATATAAGAATAACAAAATACTGAATGAAAATTGTTAACACTGATAATATCTTATTGGAAAGTTGAAAACAATGTATCATGTAACTTTAATGATCCTGAAACACATTTTTTATGGTTTTAAATCATAAATACGATGCTCAAATTAAGATTTATCAATTTTGTATGTTCCAAAAAGCATTATTTATAAAGATATTACCGAATTTAACATTTCAAGTAAATAAAGGTAATAAAATATTTATTTTCTATAAAGTTTAAGTCAAATTTTACAATAAGAAATGAATGCACATATTTTAATCATAAAAAAAAGAAAAGGAAATCCCATCCATTCATGTCAAAACGTCTGTGAATCCCCTTAAACTAAGTCCGGAGAACAAAATATTCAAATATACTTAGTGGTTAAAAGTAAGTAGTATTCAGTACTGTGCCGGTTGTAAAGACTGAAAATAATTTTTCGGAAAATTTAATTTGTACCATTTGATGTAGGTCCGAGCTTAAAACTAGACGTGTGCAAAATTTCAGGTAATTCCCTCACACTGTTTTTTCCACAAAAATATTAAAGTGACATTATGCCCATCCAAGGGTGTATAGTGAGTGAACGGGTGAAAGTCAAAATATGTTTTCATTTTGCCATAATTCCTTTTAATTTTATAATTAAGTTCGCATAAACAATGAATAACTCACAGATCCAAACAAAATTTTGTAAATATCCATAAGAATTTACCTATAATGCTTAGTTTATCAAAAGAGTGGGGCAGTCTTTTTAAATTTAAGACAGATTTATAATTTTACCCTAAACATTTTCCAATAAAAACTGTTGGTCAATCACCATTTTGACAGTGAATCTTTTGAAATATAAAGTTAACTTAGCTCAACTTGACCATGAAAATATGAGCATAATGTCACTTTAATAACCGGGAATAAATCGCCAAAAAAAAAAATCAATTTTTAATTTAGGTCTGAGTATATTGAATAGTTTCTTTATAACCTGTCGCAGAATTTTTCATTTCTAAGTGTATCACTTGATAAATGCAAGAATTACAAAGTCTATATTTTTACGTTTTTCAACCTCAGTGGAGTCCCTTTAATAAATTTTAAGTTATTTTTCAAGTGAAGTTTTTCTTGTGAACTTATGAGACATCATAAACGTTAAACGTGACTCCAGAAAAGGTTGTTTTTGTGTGTGTGTGTGTGTGTGTGTGCGTGCGTGCGTGCATGTGTCTGATTGTATGCTTGCGTATGTGTGTATGTTTATCATTTCAAATTTTCTGGTGTGTTGGTCTTGATTTATGTTAAGTTTTAACGTCTTAATATATGTTTGGTACTTTCCGTCTGCTAGGTGAGTTATTTTATTTTGTTTTAAGAACACCTATTCGACTGCAAAGAAATTCTAGAAAGGGACAGGTTTGCAGATACTGGTGTTTATACGATAGCAGTTGGTGGAACGGAAACTCTACAGGTTTATTGTGACATGAGAACCAATGGTGGGGGATGGACGGTATGTCTTATCTTTTTATTTTTTTATATTTATAAACAAAGACTCATGGCCCCTATGGGCATAAGAGTGAACAATCAAACAAAACAAAAAATGATAATACAAACTTGGCATAGAAGTAAAATAAGTAAATAAGGAAGATGACTTAGTGAAATTTCAGCATTATTGCTTTAACAAAAAATGGCTAGATCAAATAAAGTATTTCTGTTGTCGCTTCACATTAGAGCCTGAAAATTACCTTGAATAATACTTACATTAATAGTAAATAATGTTCTAATTTGAATTGAGTTTTATATATTCTATAATTTAAACACTTAACAGAATTAAAAACATCACTATTTCATACTTGTAAAAACTGATCACGTAATCGTGATTTGATTACATATTTGAAATTATTAAAATTTGTAATAAAAGAGGACTGGTGGACTACACTAAATACCGTATTCCGGTTTAAACCGGACAAGGCGCTTGAATGATTAAATTCTCAATCTTGCCTTTTTATTTTTTACCAAATGGAATGAACTTTAAAACATCTAATGCACCTTTACACGCATTTGCATCATATACGAGAATGAATGAAAAATGTAAATTTTGTGCTCATTATTTTTTCAAGCGTCTAGAGGTACTGCTCCAATCCTGTATATTGCGTGTTGTCCGTATCTTAAAAACGATTAGCATTTTACATGTACCTCAAATAAACGTCTTGATAATACAGACTTATACGTTTACTCTAAATTATTTTGCATGATTGTGTGCAATTTTATTGAAAAGCTTATGAACGAAGAAAAAACGTGTTTCAGTCAGAAAATATAGTATGATTTTATCGCCTCAGTGTTTTAATTCTGATGATTTTAACCTGCTTTTACGGTAACTGTGGCTTACCTTATATTGTCTCTGGTAACAACCGATGCACTTGTTGACCCCTATATAATTTGAACCGGAAATGATTAGCCCTTGCCACCAATGAGCACATAGTTCAATTTTTGTTGTTTTGTTTTTAGATCAAAATCAATAAAACTAAGATTGGATTGTGTCCAGTTTTAAGAAGTGAAATCCATTATACAAATTAAGCCGGTATTGGATCGCTATTGAATTTCAGACGCTATACGTTCGTATAATTAATTGCTCAGTGAATTCTGATTTAATTTTTGGTATTGTATTGAAGGTTTTCCAACACAGACTTGATGGTTCTGTTAATTTCCAAAGAAACTTTTCACAGTATGAAAACGGATTTGGGGACATCAATGGCGAATTCTGGCTCGGTATGTTTGGTTTTATTTATCTACTTGTATGTTTTTGTTCGTTCGTTCGTTCGTTCGTTCGTGCGTTTGTTCGTTCGTTCGTTCGTTCATTCATTCATTCATTCATTCATTCATTCATTCAGTGAATCGGTACTGTACTTTCTATGTTATTTGGCATTGGTTAATGGATTGTTTGCTTGATTGTTTGCTTGCTTGATTAATTGATTGTTTGTTTGCTTGCTTGATTAATCGATTGACTGATTGATTGATGATTTGATTGATTGATTGGTTAATTGATTCATCCATTCATTCATTCATTCATTCATTCATTCATTCATTCAATGACTCGGTACTGTACATTCTATGTTATCTAGCATTTGTTGAATTGCTGTTTGCTTGATTGCTTGATTAGTTGATTAATTCATTCATTCATTCATTCCTTTATTCATTAATTTATGATATCAATAAATTGGAACTGTTTTGGTACAATATAGATGACAAATACCAATGTAAAATAAACATGTAGTAGAATTTCTCTTCCTGAGATCTTACAGAATGTTGTCTTAATATAAATGATGCATGCAATTCTAAATATCTAAATATTGTTGCAGGACTTAAATACGTTCAAAAACTGACAGAAATGCCGAGTGAATTTAAATATGAAATTACGTTTTCAAATGATGGTGAACAGCCATGGAACGAACGATTCAGTCGGTTTCAACTCGTTGGCCCTCGGTACGTGCTCTCCATAGACGATCGCCTCTACAGTTCAGGTGAGAGAGTAACTGTAACATTAAACCTTACCATGCTGGCAACGAAATTGTGTAGTCTTTGCCACTACGGAAGAAGACAGTTTCCAGACAAAGTTCAAATCAGCAGATTTAATAATAGATATTAATATTTTTTAACAATCTGACTAAAGTTCAGATCTTCTTATTTCTTTTTTTTTTTTGTAGATCTGATGACGACTGAAGATGTTTCGCCTTCTTTATACATTGTCATTCGGATTTCCCAAAAGAGCTATTTTTAGCCATGCAATCAAACCGGTTTTTACATAGGCATTAGAAATATCAAAAAACCGTTGGACGTGGAATTAAACAAATTGTTGATTTTTGTTAGAAAAAAAAGTTTGATGTATTTTTTAACAAATTACTTGAAAAAAATAGAGCCAATTTTTAATGGGCAAGATTGTTTTGCCAGTTTATCTGTCGGCTATATGTTTGGTCTCGAAATCTTAAAAATTACCTTCTACAGGTTTAGAATTAGAAACCACATCGCTTTCAAAATTATGAAAGCTCGCCGATGATTGGCTGTGTGACTAGTTACCAGAAATAATTTCGTATATGGTCACGCTCAAACCTAAAATCAACGAGTGTTTGTATTTGGTGAATTAACAATTGTATCATACTAGGGTTAAATCGTATACACATATATACATGCACAGTGCGTTAGCTGAAGCGCAGTTTAACATACCAGCACTCCAGAGCATGCCCATTGATTGGCTAATTTTTCCGAGGTTCACTTATTGTAGTAGTATAGGCGTCGGTTTAGCCCCAAGACTGCGCATGCGCGGCGCCATATTGGATTCTATTTTTAGAATGACATCATCGTTCTATTTTGAGAATGTGATCATCCGTCTATTTTTAGAATGACATTATCGTTCTATTTTTTAATCTCCCGGAAGTATACGGAGCTGACTCGTATACACGATCTTAGGGCTTGAATCGCGGACATTGAGGGTCAGGTCCTCGGCCCTAGACGGAGAGATAATTACCATTATGACAGATAAAATAAATGTTTGTAAATAGATACGTACTTAACATTTTAATTTATAAAAAATAGTTTAGGTTCAAAATAATATTGATACAAATATAACTCGTTTACTTACCTACATTTAGTAAGGAAATGACTGTCATAGCGTAACGTTTCTTGTAGACTGCGCATGATTTATTTTTAGTCGCGGTATTTCACAACCACCAGGAGCTATTTCATCAGCCCCACGCGGGTGTCAATGAAAGAAAAAGGCATTAAGTACAGTCGCCGCTCAGTCTAGATTCACAATACCTAGCGGAACTATTTTGAACAAAAACCCTTTATTCCTTCGTTACTAAATATAACTTTTCATTAATCACAAAAGAATCTATTAAATCCTTTCAAACGCAGCGAAGCCGAAAGTCAAGTACAGTCGCCACTTAGTCTAGATTTACAATACCTAAGCGGAACTATGTTGAAATCAAAAACCCTTTATCCTTCGTTACTAAATATAGCTTTTCATTAATCTTATCCTTTTAAATGCAGCGACCATTAAGTAAAAACTCATTAACGAGAAATTTGCTACGCATGCATTAACATATTTTAACACTTCAATATATTGTATTATCCGTTCTTTTAAAGTGCCATGCTACGGTAAACTGATTGCAATATTTTAAACACGGTTGCCCTTAGCAACTGGTCAAATTTTGTGATTTTTATGAACACTTCAGATTCTTATTTTTTTATACAAAAATAAAATTTTAAATGAATAACTTATGTATAAGAAAGTTTGTAAACTGATTTTAAATGAAAATTTATAATACATTTAAGCTATAAACCGGTTTTTTATCGTTTGGGCAACCGTTTACGCTCAAAATTTTTTTGAGATAAAGTCGTTATAAGATAGAATAAAACCGAAAGCTTTCGTTTTGACCCGGGGTTCTCGATCGATTTTCAGCCGTTTTTGAGTTATGACGCAAGAGCGATTTTAAACCCTAAATTGCGAAAGTCAATAAAAACGTTACAACTGTTTTCCAATCGATTCGTCTCGTCGCGCTGATTAAGAAAATATATAGTTTTATGGGTTTATCTTTTACCGTTTTCGAGTAATTCGAGTTTTAAAGTCACCGGAAGTGACGTCACAGAAATTTCAAAATCGATTTTTTTTCCGGTATTACTTGACCGAATATACTCGTGTTTGGTATCTGTTGGAAAGCATTTTACACAACCTGTTACCTGACGCTCTTCAAAAAGCCATTGGACCGGGGAACTGAAATCACTGAAGCGTAAAAAACGTGTTTTCTGTACCACGTCCGGACCGAACTAAAGGCGTGTTTGGTATCAAACGAAATGTCTTAAGCCGCTCTTTATGAATACGGACTAAAATCGAAATTAAAATCAACTCATGCGTAAAAATCATTAAAATAACTAAAATAAGCTTACCCCCCAGTCTTTACTCCTTGCCTATCAAACTATTTATGACAAGTTACTATAGCCTATCGTTAAAACGGTCCAGTTACGACAGGTTTAAACCGGTATTGCTATTTTTGATTAGCCAATGAAATTGAAGAACGAGGTTTTTAAAACCCGATTTTTTTTTAAAAATCATAAAACCCTTAGATTTATATGCCGTTTGAAAAGATCTCTGCGAGTAGATACAGAAAATGTATTATTATATGGATCTATCTTTTACTGTTTCTGAGATAAGGAGAGTTTCAATATGGCAGACAAAAGCACTCATGCGGAAACACGCGCCATAAACTTTTTCGTTATGAACGAAACATAGTTATGTTTGGTATCAAATTGAAGGTCTTGACGAGTACATTTTAGTCACGCGATCAAACCGGATGTGAAATCACTCATGCGTGAAAAATATATATTTTGGTTACTAGTGCAACCAAATACGATATGATTTTTAATTGTTGACTACCAATTGAAAGAACAGTTCAATACCTTTAATTTACACCCCACATTATCGATTCGATTTTCAAACTGTTACAGAGTTATTACGTAACAGCGATTTTTAAACCCAAAATTTTTTAAAAGTTTACAAAGAGCCGCTTCAATTTATATACCGTTAAAAAGATCTCGGACGAGTAGATTCAGAAAATGTAATAGGTTTAATGGGTCTATCATTATGAGTTTACTGAGATATTACAGATTATAGACTTAGTGTATTTTAACCACCGATTTAGATAAAAGCGTTAAATTGGGCACTACAATTGGGTTTCAAAAAAATTATTCAAACGAGTGTGGCGTCCTTATTTATGGGTCGATTTTATTCCATCTTGGTATCCAAATTTTAAAGGTATTTAAGAGTACTTTCAGACGCTGTTGATAGTAAAGTTCATAATACTGGGAAGTCAAAATTACTTTATGCGTTAAATGACAATTCTCCGCTTTTTCTGGACATAACATTGGGTATGTTGGCATATCAAAACGAAAGGTCTTGACAAATGCGACAAGCTGAAACTAACAAAGCCGCAAGTGAAACCAATCACGCGTAAAAAATATTAAAATAACTAAAATAAGCTTACCCCCAACCTTTACTCCTCGCTATCCTAAAAACCGGCAATGAATGAATCGCTACGGTTAATCGTAATAAATGGAGTAAAAGAAGCGTTCGGATTGGTCACTGATAAGACAGTATTCTGATTGACTCGAAAGCAGGTTGGACAACCGTTCCTTGCAATGTGTAAAAATACATAAAACAAGTGAGGAGGAGGAGGAGGGTGGAGGAGGAGGAGGTGAAGGAGGAGGAAGGAGGAGGAGGTGGAGGAGGAGGGAGGAGGAGGGAGAAGGTGAAGAAGGTGGAGGAGGAAAAGAAGAAGCAGGAGGTGTAGGAGGTGTAGGAGTAGGAGAAAGAGGAGGAGGAGGAGGTGGAGGGGAGGAGGAGAGAAGGAGGGGAGGAGGAGGAGGAGGAGGTGGTGGCGGAGGAGAAGGAAAGGAATTTTTTTTCCTGTATCTGCAAACGTAAGAATCGTTAAATAAACTTGTAAGAAGACAGATTTCTTCAGCTTTTATAAATCTTGCTACTAAAATGAATAAGTGTTCTGTATGTAATCAGGTGTTCTCTAGGTTGACAACATGCGAAGACATGAACGTTATATGCATAGCAGTAACGACACAGTTAAAAGTAATTCTCTATTACAAGAAGTAACTCAAGGGAAAAAACTTCAGAAAAAGATGACATTTCACCACCCTTTTTCCATGGTTGTTTCCGGACCCAGTGGTAGTGGAAACAACAGAATGGACCAGAACACTGCTGTTATCTAACCTAGTACGTCAGCCGCCTGAACGCATCATATGGTGTTTCGGACAATGGCAACCTCTGTACGACGAACTTTCAGCGTAGAATACCTTGGATAGAATTTGTACACGGTATCCCCGACTACTTGAATAATCCCGAGTACATCAACGCCAGCAAAAGGAACCTGATTCGTTTTTGACGATTTGAAATACAAGAGGCCAAATGTGACCAGAGAATCGCCGATCTTTTACCAAAGGGCAGTCACCACAGGAACATATCTATCGTGTATCTTGACTCAAAATTTATTTCCTCAAGGAAAAAAGCCTGCAGAGATATCGCGTTGAATACGCAGTACCTAGTATTATTCAATAACCCTATTGACAGACAGCAGGTGGCTACGTTAGCGAGGAGAATATATCCTTCCTCCTATAACATCTTTATGAAAACGCTTCGAACGAGCGACATCGAGACCTCACGGTTATTTAGTGGTAGACTTGAAATCCTCTACTCCAGAACAATGACCGTTTGCGCGAAAAACATTTTTGAAAGTCAAGGTAGGAAAAGACAGCCTGCGGATGATTCCGAAAATGAGATTAGTGAAGAAGAAACCTTGTCTGACAATACTTTAAAATGATGATTTGATGATTAATTATGAGGAGGAGGAGGTGGATGAGTCAGACATAAAGATGTTATAGGAGGAAAGGATATATTCTCCTCGCTAACGTAGCCACCTGCTGTCCCGTCAATAGGGTTATTGAATAATACTGGTAC